TGGGAGGAGGGGGGAGAAAGGGGGGGAAGGGGTAGATCAAGGCCTCCATTGAAAGTGAGAGGGTAGGGCAAGGGTAGAGGCTGGCGCATGTGCTGCCCAGGCGGGGCAGTGAATGGGACTTCAGAGTGGGGTACAAGAAGGAGCCACATGCGGCTTGTCCAGGGGACATGGGGGGGCAGCTCCCCGCTGCTGCCTGTACACCTGGAGGAGGCACGGGGGGCATCTACCCCCCCTAGATTTGTGGGCAGGGTGAGGGCAGGTTGCCTCCCGTGGGCTCAGGGCCAAGGGCTGTGCCAGCCTCTTCCAAGCAGGGGGGCTGGGCCATGGCTGGGCTTGGGGCAGGCTCAGCTGCATAGGGTGAGAGGTGGCAGTGCTAGGAGAGGTGAATTTTGGGGTGGCTATAGCCCCCCAAGCCCTCCCACTGCCGCTCCTGCTTGGGACACTCCACTCTGCTGCTTTTCCCTCAGGAGTCCCGCACAGGCAGCAGGCTCCCCCAGGGAAAGGCAGCAGAGTGGAGTGCCCCAAGCAGGGGTGGCACTGGGAAGGCTTAGGGGACTATAGCCACCCCAAAATTCACTACAGCCCCCTATAGCCACCCTTCTTGGTACCACCATTCCCTGCCCAGCACAGCTGAGCTCACCCCTAGTCCAGCTCCCTGGCTGGGAAGAGGTTGATGCAGCTCCTGACCCTGAGCCTGCAGCAGGCAGCCCACCCCATGCACAAATCTGGGCAGGGGCCCATACCCCGCCATGCCTCCTCTGGGGGTGCACACAATGACAGGGAGCCACCCCCTCCACCATCCCTGGATGAGCTGCCTGCAGCTCTGCCCCACACCCCGCACCAGGGTCCCATTTACCACCTGGCTGGGCAGTGCCTTCCCCTGCCCCTGCCCTAGCCCCACTCCCTCTCTCAGTGTGAGGGCCTTGATCTGCCCCCTCCATGCCCTTTCTCTCCCCCACGACTCCTCCTCCCCACACACTTACCAGCAAGGCACTGCTCTCCATGCTGCCCATCAGCATTCCTGGCCACGTGCATGCATGCATGCACACAGCATTTATTGGTGAGATTATCCGCTACGTCAGCGAAAATAAGCTGATAATGCTAATTTTCCTTTTACCAGTGCTGATCCAATATGAATCGGTGCACCACTAATGTGTGACTCCCACATCAACCTTCCCATTTCTCTTATTTCATTCCTGTCTTTGAGCACTTTCCTAGGCATCTTCCAACATCAGCTCTCTCTCCGTTCACCATGCATCCATCTTTTCAACCCTCTCTTTGAAACTCAAGCCCACTAAGTTTCCTCCACATTGATTAAAAGTTTTCAAACCCATCCATCATGTAAAGGAACTCAGCCAACTCCACCTATTTAAACTGCAAACACCTCGGAAATGGATTTGGTTTTCACATTGTCAGCACTTATGGGTGCTTGCTGTACAGAATAGTGGTGTATTTTTACAATGCTTTATTTATTCACTGGCAAAAACAAAACAAAATAAAAACCCTTCATTAACGCAGAATTGATGCCGCCTTGTGGAATTTGTTGCTTTTAGAGAACTTTGAATCCAATAACAATCTACCTTATATATCATACTAAGATATGGTAGTTGTGCTGCCCTATCTCCTCCCTCCATCCCTCCTCTCCAGCCAGACCAAAACTAGCAGTAGCCACTGGGAATTGTCTGTAATGCTGACTGATGTAGCTGCTGGAGGTTCCCTGTCCCTGATGTGGCTAGGTCTCCTTAAAGCATGTCAATAAACCACCTTCGCCAGCTTTCCTCCAAGCTAGTTTCTGTCCCCAAGTGAACTAGACTGTGGAGAAAGAGAAGGACTGCCTCAGAGGAAAAAGTTCCTCTCTTCCCTCAGATCCAAGCACAAACCTAGGAGGTAATGCTACCAGGTCTCCCTAGCTGTAATACCCTCTATTTCCCCAGCCACCCAAGGTATACTGCTTCCCAGCTTCCCACACATTTCTTCAAATCCACTCTCCCACTCTGTATTTAGCCTTCCAACCTTTCTCCATCTTCACAAATTCACAGAAGTTTAGGGCTGGAAGAGACCCTGTGAGATCATTGGGTTCAGCCCTGCTGCTCTGGGCAGGAAATACTCCTTACCATTCATCTTCCTAACCCTAGCCACAGCTCCTTCCCTGTCAACAAGCATTTTCACATGCAATGTACTTTTCCCTTTTTCTTTAAAACCAAAGAAAGAATGCACCCCTCCAAAGCTTTTCAAAATGATACTGTGCTGGCAGTCTGCATATAGCAAAGCAGGGACTCATATTAAAAATAGCCTGAGCATCTTCTAAATTATTTGATGCATTCAGATTTTATTTCCCAAAAATAAAACTTCACCTAAGTGGTGTAATAGCCATAGCACATTCTCTTGAGTCTCTCAAGTCATGTGAATGCTGGCTGGTTAGAAACCTCCCTGACTGGTCACTAAGTATGTGCATGTTGCAATTTGTGCGCCAGACACTTTAAAATCACGTTTTTAATATTACTTCTGAAAAGAGGTCTGGAGAGCTTTTCGCTAGCTGGGTAAGTGTTGAGCAACACAGACAAGTATGGAATGAGAAGAGCCCTGACATATGCCTCAGGTGCATGTCCAAAACGTTGGTTTAGGAAAGGCTATTTTTTCAAGGGGTTGTTGCATCTTGGAAGCCCCTTCCTCTCACTGATTCCAAACTTAAGCCCAATCTATATCCTCACAAAGCACATCATATCCAAGGTAATACTATTAAGCGTGAGGATTATAAACAGCAAAGGCTTTTCCTTATCCTTTCAACAGCAAAGACTTTTCAACCTTTACTGCACCAGAACCAGGGCTCAAGTATACTGTTGTATAAGTTATCATGAATCCCTCCTTTGCTATATGCAGCATAGGATCATTTTGAAAAGGTTTGGAGGGCTGAATTCTTTCTTTGGTTTTAAAGAAAAAGGGAAAGGTAAGTTACACATCCATCTGCAGAATCCAAGGCTTAGTGAGGTGTAAAGTGCCCCACTTACCTCAGTTGAGATGCTTTCAGATGGAAATGAATCTGAAACTGCAACTATGCAAATTTATGAGGGTGTTCTCATCCCCACATTCTGGGTGCCTGAAAGCCTGGATAAGCAGAGGCCTGCCCTTTCACAGAGCATCCGGCAGCTTGTCTAATTTTATTCCCACCATGCAGTTCATCCAATAAAAGATATCATCTCCCAAAAAATCCTTGCCTTTCACATGACTCTCTCACAGCTACAATACCACTCTAACATTACCTTTTCTTCATTTCTCACATTCTCAATATGATACTCATGGTTTCACAAGCTTGTTTAAATTTTGACAACCACTTCCGAAGTTACTAATGAGACTTCCATCATCACTAACCAAGATTAAAAATTTAATGGTCCAGTTTTTGGGGGGTTTTTTTGGTCCCCAAATTAATTTGCTCTTTTTTGTCTTCATGTATGAAGTGGAAAAAAAGTAATACATTCCTTTAGCTATCAATAAAAAAAAATTGTTGACTTCTTATTTTACACACAAAAAATAACAGGAACACTTCAAGCAATTCTTAGGTAAAAAATACATAGTTCAAAATATATAAGACAAGGTTTAAAAAAATAGTGTCACTGAACAGTTAATTAGATAACACACAAATCTGTAAAAAAAAATCCCGCGAAAAGTTGGGGATACCCTTCTCTGGACAAAACAAAACTCAGTCATATTGTTTTTGTAGGACATGAGAAGGCAAAACTTGTTCATGTTCCAACCTAAACAAGGAGAACACTGTAAATAATCAGCATGCATGGTGAAAAGCCAAACTCATTTCAAAATGGACTATAATAATCTACCATAAATTTCCTTCAATCAGAATAGTGTCTTGCTTTGTTGCTTCCCTATCATACTTATGCTCTCACTTACAGTATCTCAAAAGCCATATATTAAGAAAATGTTTTATATTTGTGATAGTATGATTATGTAATCTTTCTTCAAGGAACCCCATGTTTACTTTTGTCCTCTAAACAGATTGGAGGAAGCCATGCCTGCAACATGCCTTAAATTCAGATGTGTGATGCTGTCAGAAGGGCCTGTTAAAGGAGGAAGACAGCAATTTAGTGCACTTATACATTCATAAGCACCATGAGTGGAGCAGAGCTACTGTAATTTATGTACTCCAGATTCTGCAGTGAAGATTCATCAAGAAGCACCTTTACAAAACAAAAAAAAAAATTAACTGCAGACTCATTCTTCCTTCCTCAATTTCAGTGCATCTTGGCTCATGATGAAATCCAGGAATTTTATCCAGATAGCAAATAAAGCTCTGGCAATTCTTTGGTTTTCCACACAACCAAGAACAGGCTGGCAATCCTTTAATGAATTAATATGCAGTACTAAATACAAAGCAGAAGCTAATCACTTTGTATTACAAGGAGCATTTTGATAAAAAGTAAGAGAAAACAAAAATGAATTACAGACCGTGAGGCTGCACGCTTATTTCTATGTCACTGGATTGTTCAATTCCTTTAACTACTGCAAATCCTTACCTCTTCTTTAGTATCTTTAAATGATGATCTTGAGGAACGATTTCTGGAATCCAGAGACTTGGTTTCTTCTTGCTGCCCAAAGAGCTCCTCAATTGTCTTTGTGTCGATCTGGTAGTGCTGTCTTCCGGCAATAGTCCAGATATTGGTTTTACCACGGACTTGCTCTTCTGGGATTGTTTTCCAAAAAAAACTCCGTATTCGTTTTTTTTTACTCTGGCGGCCATGCCCATTCAGGAACTGCAGTGGCAGAGACTGAGATGGCCCTGGTGGAGGAGGAGGAGGTGGTGGTGGTGGTGGTGGTGGTGGTAGTGGTGGAGGCAACTCTGGTGGTGGAGGTGGAAGGACAGCACCTGTGGACGGACATGGCGGCGGTGGTGCTGTTGTTGTATCTTCATTCATTAATCCAGTGGCAACTGAAATAGCTCCATTTTCTTTATCATTTACCAAAGAGAGACAATTCATAACATGCATTTTATAGTCTCTCCAGTAAGGAGAGTCCTACTTCCTTGTGTCTGCTTGAAACATGGAACAGTGGAGTGGCAATTTCTGTCATATAGTGTCATACGTTAACATGACAGCAGCGAAAACAGTGCAAGATGAGCCCTGTACCATCTTCATTACCTATAACAAGAAACAGTGGTGAAGCTCAGCAACTTCAGCATACTGTCAGCAACACAGCTACACAAATACAGACAAGTTCATATACAGCAATTCTCAGTTATTTGGTTATTTTCATTTTTAATCTAAATGAGAAAAGACGCAGGCTTTTTTCAAAAAACACAATGTTCTCTATGTTTTCCCCCTTATCACTGAATCAAAATAAGGAACAGCATATGTGGGATGATTCAACAAACTAGCATATTGCTTTTTTTTGCCTTTGTATTTTTCATGCAATTTCATGAATAAAATGTATGGAATCCCAGAAAAATCACTGTTTAATAAGAGCACCCAATATTTCCAATTACTATCTAAACCTTCTTTAAACAAACAACCCCAGCATGTAACTTTTATTACTATTGTTCAGGTTATAATACATTTACTAAAATTCACACAACAGAAGACAGACTGCAATTTTATTAAGGGCACTTCTTTATAATTCACTCAAGTATCTAAGTTACTACCACTACTTCAATAAGCATGGGTACTAGTACAGATAGAAAAGATCAAAAGTAAGTGGAAATTATAATCTATACACCTTCCAGCTCTCTGTCCGTGCAAGATGGTAAATATTTACTCAAGAAACCTCATACATCTCCATTACCTCATTTGGTTGCTTAATCAGAGTTTTCAAATCTTTATGACAACCAGTTTACTTTTGATTTTGCCATATGGCAAATAAAACCAATGTCATTGACAACTGTTGGAGCAACAGTCTTGCCTTTTTTAAAAAGCACAAGTTAATATTTGACAGTTCATTCATATTAATGAATAGCTTTCATCTCTGTTAGTAAATTGTCTCCCCCATAACACAAACCCAGGCCAATTACGAATCCTATTGCTTAAAAACTTTATAGAGGCCATGATTAAATTGCACATTTGACCACATGGAGGTCACCAAAAGTGGAGGTATTAAACAGACAGAAATTAGTTGAAAACTGCAGACTCAATACTAAGCAAACAGTAATCAGGAAACCTAACAGAAGTTGTAATGAGGCACTTGTGAAGTTGGGCAAGATTAAAACTAAATACAAGTTTGTCAGTGAATACACCTATCTACTTGGCATCGTTCCTCCCGTTTGACAGAATGCAGATACACAGACAAGGCAGAACAACTTTCTGTCTTGTCATGACAAAAAGATTCCTTTTTTTTTTTGCCAGAGCTCTACTACTTCAGTGCACATGCATAAACAGACAAAAGTTACAGAGACAAGCCACAGCATGGATTCTTAGCTGGTGTTGTCTCAGCTCTGATGAAGTTAATGTAAATTGATAATATACTAGACGACCTCTTTTCAGAAACCTGTGTGTAATAACGTATCTGGTATCCATTTCTACTTCAGACATTACAGGCTTGCTCACTTCACTTGGAATATCAGAGATATTCACAAGTGTCGAAGACCCAGATTTGATTTAGGGAAGGACAGATAGTCTTGTAATGAAGAGACAAAGGAAGGTGCCGCATCACATACAAAATGGCTATGTTTTCTCTATGGACTGATACAAACTACATTAATCTTCTCCTGAGTTCCTGGTTGGAATAAACTGGATATTTGAGGGTAGAGGTTGAAAAGAAACCTGTTAAGAAGTTAGGGATAAAGAGGAGAGGGAGAGAAGGAGAAGAGGGTACAGATGATTTATCTCACTTATTGGAAAGTGGAAAATGTAGTCATAGTACAAAAATATCACTTAGATAAGCCATCAACAGCCACTATTTTTAACCATTAATTTGTTAAATAAAAAATAAAAAGTTCCTGGAATTACACAAGAGCCTCATCTGGTAGTTTCTAATACATCTGAAAACATTAGAAAGAATCAGATCAAATCCTAATGAAATAGCAGGGAATTCAACAGCTCATCTTACTCCTAAACTTAAATGTGGGAGAGTTGAAAAGAGACTTCTCATACTGGCAAGGCTCAATCTCAGAGTTGTGAGGGGGAGGAAAAGGGAAGAGATAGGAAGGAGGAAAGAAGCTCGGGTGCCAGTTAGATTTAGCAGGAAGAACCATTTTAAATCCACTAGAGCCTTCCACTGCTTTAGCCGGTGGCAATCCTGATAGACTGTCATCCAAAACCAGGATAGAGAGAAAAAAAATCTGAATGGAGGTGTGAAAGAAAGGTCACCAAACACACAGCTATTGTCTTCCCATAGATAAGCAGGTCCAAGTGGCAAAGGTCACCTGCTCTTAATCTAAGCATAAAGTACTCTATCTAGTTCCTGAGGCTGAGACACTGAGATGTAAAAATTCCATTCTCTCCCTGCCTGGCTCAGAGAACTAGCTTGGAGATGCACCCTAATACTGCCAGATATGGCGTGGGTGCGAGAGAGAGAAACTGCCAGACTGAGACACTGTCTGCATAGCTTGTTGGTATCAGCAGGTGGTCCCTACCCCCCAGCAGAAGTGCAGAGAGGATGAACTCGTTCTCTCTCTCTCTCTCTCTCTCACACACACAAATACCAACTGCTGTGGAAGCAGGATCACATCCTAAAAACATAACGTAAGCCAAATAAAGTTCTCTCTCTAAAAGCCCTTTTCTAAAACTTCAGATGGAAGACGGGAAGACATAAAAGCAACATGCAAGACTACCAACATTTTAAGTTCATCATTTGTTACATCCAAGCTATACTGAGTTTGTGCAATGTGTTCTGTGAATATTTGTTACATCCAAACTATGTTGAGCAGGAAGAAGTGTTATGAATTGTCTTTTGTGCATATTTAATAATATCTAAATAGACATTTAATGTGTGCTTAATACCTCCATAGACCTGCCAGCAAAACTTCTGAAAAGAAAAACTAATATTTTAATTCAATGAAGCATTTTATAACACTCCATATACTCTGGTATGGAATTTAACTTGTAAATAAGCTTTTAGAAAACATTAAAACCTGTAAGCAATTGTTTTCCACTTCAGAGGACAGGCAGTCTAAAGGCTGGTTCCCTAACAAAAATCACTGCCTCCGAAAGGGATGTAAGTGGTATTTGCATATGCACATCAGCCAGCGAAATGCCCACTGAACCTCCAGAGATGTATTATATCTCATCCAGTACACCTAATGCCCTGATGGAAAATATGTAAGAGAAACCAAACAACTGCGTACCAGAATGAACGCACACCGAAAATCCATGAAAGACAAGAATATCCAATTACCTGTGGGTGCACGTTTCTCACAAGACAATCACTCCCTCTCCGACCTCTCAGTTCTAATCCTCAAAGGAAACTTACACCACTTTTCCTAGACGAGCTTATGAATTTCAGTTTGTAAATCTGCTGAATACAAAAAATCATGGATTTAATATAGACACTGGATTTATGACACATTAAAACCTGCCTGACATCTGATATACCAGGCAGGCACCCTGCCTCAAGCTGACCACCTGTGTTCCTTCACACTTTTCCCTCCCTTCCCCCTCCACCTCTAGAGACCCATTGTCTTCCAAACTCCCACTCATTCCCATTTTCACAGATATCTTGTTTACTTTAGCTTCTTTTCTACCTTGGAGAACATATAACAGGAGCAGAGTCTGCCAGTGCCTGAAGGAGGGTGTTTGTGCCCGAAAGCTTGCAAAGAACAATTTTTTTCAACTATTTACTTGGTTTAATAAAACATCACACTTACCCAGGGAACCCTGTCTGCTTATGTCCTTAGACCAACATGACTACAACCAACAACCCTCAGTTGAACAGTGTTTTATTGATATATTTACAATTTTAAAGCAGTTT